AATGGGAATGCAGCAAGAAATCATTGGCTCGAGGAATGGGAAGCCATTTTTGTGTTACAGTGAATTTTTCGTTGCCGCCTAAGTTTCAGTTGAGAAAAATCTAGAAATAATATTAGCAGCGAAATTGCTTCAGTTGGATAAAAAACTGAACAAAAGTGGAACCTCTGTGAACCTGGGTAAAAAGATCTTTTCAATTTTATGGCTCTAATTGTGTTTTCAAATCCATTAGGTTAGAACGGGATTCAGTTTGAAAGGGAAACTTCGTCGCTGTTCAACTTTATTGAAACATGAGGGTTTTTTGGCGATAACTTTTGAAACTGGAACCCCATTATGGACTTGAGCAAGCATAATTTCATTGCATTCAAGAACGTAACTTCTTCCTGATTGCCATGTTAGTTCCACATTAAAAGGAGTGATGTGCTGTTTGGCATTTATCCTCCCAATAGGTAGAGCCAAGCATTTAACCTCTATTAGAGTCGTAGAGACATTTTTTTGCTCGAATTTTGATTGGTTTATGCTGTAGTCGGTGAATGGTGAATTTGATTCTCTTATGCTGGTGGCGAGTAATCAGCCGTAGAGGAGGAGGGCAGGAGTCGGGGCTCAAGCTTTTAACAATAGCAGATCAGAAAGCGCGTTACGATAAACCAATTTGTCAATATAATTAAGTTCTGAGTAATTTTTTTCAAACAATTTTTCAATATTTTAGTGTTGGGTTTGAGGCTGTGAACAGTGAATATTGAATGAAACTTGACGTAGGTCATAGAAGGTGCCAGTTAGGTCATAAGAATTGCGGTGACGATAAAGCATAGAAGTATGAAGCGTTCAGCACTTATCGTTCTCTTTTGGGATGCGCCATGCAAACTACTCCCATTCGGAGTCGAAATTGAATTTTAACACATTGCGTACCGCGTGCGCCACCATGTGGCGCACGATTTCAAGCGAAAGATCATAGTTTTATCTGATTTATTTGGCATTTTTCAATGCTCCTGAAGTGTTTGCACTCATTTTCAGAGCCAGGAAAGCATAAGATCACTGATAAAATTGTTGATAATTAATGATGATTCATTTTCTAAAAACATAAAAAAGGTATGGAGGTCCTCGTATAAAGGCAGTCCGCAATGTGTTAATGCAATTTTAATAGCACAATAACCAAAAGAAAACCTATGTACAGTCAGCACTTTCATTTAGACATCTGGTACCACTTGATTGGTAGGAATGTAGAGGGCTTGATTGACTTAGACGAGATTTGATCCCGAATCTAACCACTCTTGAAATTTCATGAGACTCCGAATTTTTGTCGTTTCTTTCTGTGCTCACCGCGGTGTCTTTAGAGGTGGTGGTGTGATTGACGGGAATTACTGATGGGAATTGTTGTTCAAGGACGAAAGAAGAATACATGAAAACACGCTGGAAGGTCTGCCTAAATAAATGCAGGTCTAGGACAATGGAAAAACCTCAGATTGTGAAGGTCTCTGCTTGGCCGAAGAAATTCAAAGACCTTGACTGCTTGACTTGTTTAGAATGAAGCGGAAGGGACCTATCCGATATCAGCGGCATTCGACGGAAATTGTTTGAGTCACTTGTGAGATGCCTGATCGTGCCTTTCATCTTCGCCTCCCTTTCATTCTCCATTGAGTCTGAGAACTCTTAGAATCATTGTGTTCTTTCTTCTTCTAAGGATTTGTTTGGGTTTAGTGTTGAAGCTGTCTTTTTGTGTTGAGTGTGATCACCTTAGGAGATAGCAATAGCAGGAGGCTCTGCTTCAATGTGCGGGTTTTTGGGGTTGGATTCGAACAGATCGTCCAAACCTTCTTACCTTCTGCGGTAGAGGGGGTGCAGTAGGATAAAACGCAGCGCTTCCGAATAATCTCTGTATCCTGAGGTAAGGTTAAAATGAATGCATTCAAAGGGATGGATTTATTAGCAAGGGATGTATTGTCTTCTAACTGTTGAGTCTGCTAGTCCGCTAATTGAGTAATACCTCAGTCTACAGTTTGAGACAGCTCACTAAATTCTGTTCCTTTTGGTGGTAATGTCTATTTCGACCTATTTCCTGATTTTTTTTTTGAGAATTCGGTTCAAGTTTCGAGTAAACAAATACACCCACTTCAACAAGTGGCTCGGTTTCAGATGTGGTTATGGTTAAACTTAGTGATTTTTTGTGTGATATTTTTCATTTTGCTTAATCTGCTTTGAGAACGCATCAATATGGGTAGGCCCTGCCTGTTATTTTGCGCTTTTGCGGTGTGCGCCTTGTCTTCATGCAATTTGTGGAGGTTAAATTCACTACTCTTTCAGCTGGGCTCTTTGGAGTCAAACTGAAGGAGCAGTTCAGGTGACGCACTGGCATTGTAGGAAACCTATATGTAGTTTGGTAAAGTCCAACCGAGGGCGGAAGTGGTGTAGTGGCAAGTGGCACGCTTACCACGCGAGCGGTCCGGGGATCAAATCCTGGGTCGTGAGTCGCCCGGGCCAACCAAGCCTTCCATCCCTCCGGGGTCGGTTAATTGGTACCAGACTTGTCTGGGAGGATAAAAACACTGACTTGTACATCGGCTGGCCCCCGCAAGTCATTGTATAGGCCACATCGCATTCAAACGCCACTACGAATGTACAAATGGAAGTAGAATGCGTGCCGCATCCCAAAAAGGGATTGATCAACGGGCTTTATTTTTCATGTCTGAAGTCCAACCTCTCTTTTTCCGTAGAATTTCGGGTTATGCATCTTGATGTTCCAACCTCTCTTTTTGTGAAGAACTTCGGGTTATGTATCTTCATGTATTTATTGTACCGTGGAGGTTTTCAGGTAGAAATTTCATTCAGCTGTTCGGCTATACTTATACTACTTATAATACTTGAATATACTAACTACAACCACGGAGCAGTGCTGTCTCGCTCTTGCGGTGAACTGAACCTTCGAGAAAACGATCTGATGGAGATCGTGCTAAGATATAAGGTTCCCACCCACCTCTACGGCAGAAGAAGTGTATCATTATAAATGCCAAATACAGTGCAACAGTGGCGCTCCATTGCAAAACTTATCTACTATTGGTGGGGTGTCATAATGTGGTGGTCGCCGCGACCCGCATCCTTCTCACACCAATTACTGTTTCATAAATGCTGAACTTACTTTGACCTGAACCTATTATTTACTATTAGTGGCTCTTCTAGGCCCAATTCTGAAACACCTGCATTTATAAACCAGCAGCTAATGCTAACCATAAATCTACTGATTCAGGATCCGGTTTTTTCCTTCATTCGTGATTTGCACATCATCTTGTTCTATAACAGTTTTTTTAGATGGAGTCAGTGCGAACGTTCTCTACGACAGTTCATGAGTTCTGGCGAAGCGTGGTCGAATGGCGGAGCCCCGCCTCTGGACCTTACCTAATGCTCGTCAATGTAGCATTTTGGTTAGTGTAGTTTGAAAAGATTCAGAATGCGTTGCTAGTCATGTGAAAAAGCTGCGATCGCCTAAGCGTCAACCAGATTGCCATTCTATCGACTCTTAATTCGTCTTCAATGATGATCCTGAAAGGTAGAAAAAATATTGTAGTTTTGTCTGCTCACTTAGGAATTGAGGAGAAGCCGGCGCTGTCGCAAGGCACGGGGCATTGTGATGGCAGTGCATTTGAAACCGCGTGAAGCCTCTTTCACGTTGAAACCGGGACTAAGCCTGATACGGGAGAGGAGAGACATCCAGAATATGAGCAATTTCATTCTCTTCGAAGCTCCTACCCCTCATAGGCTTACAAGGGAGGTCGTTCAGGGTGTGCCAAGCTTTTTCAAAACGGTTTCTTGCATGATATAGGGGCACATGCAGGAACCACAGAACCATGGTTCCGTTTTTCCTGAACGGCCCTCTGAATACCAGAAAAGGAGGTCCCTAGTTCGATTCCTCGTGGTGACAAATTTTTGCATTTCGAGTTGACGTTTCGCAGATATTCGCGCAAAATGGAGGCTAGCATGAGTGATTAGTAACATATTCATGATTAGGACCGTAAGTAGCCCCTACAAATAGACTGTGATTAAAAACTGGGGAAAAAGGTGTGACACCACAGTAGGGCCGTTTTGGTGGCAACTTTTTCACCCTCAAAAAAGCGCTTTTAAGGTTACTAACCGTCTAGTCGATGAATACGCGGAATCAGCAATGTCATGCCAAAATCCTATTTTGCACGACCATCGAAACGTTAGCTCGAAATGCAAAATTTTTTTCACCTCGTCGAACTGTATATCGACACTATGGGTTGAACCAGGGTGAAAATCGTGTCGAGTACGTGGTCGCAGAGGTACGACCCCCCCCCCGAAATCGAGATCCTGGCACGACCCCCTCTAACAGAGCAAATTAATTCAATTAAAATAAATCCTGCAAAACAAATCAAAAAAAAATTCTGCAAAATAATGCTAAGGAAAAATCATCTTGTCATCTATGCACGTCTTCCATCGCTGCATACTTTTGTGTACATACTGAAATATCGACTCGAGGAAAGAGGCATTAACTTTGTGTGACCTCAAGGCGAGGTTCGTTCAGAAACGCACAGAAATCCTGAAGACACGGGGTTGCGATTCAATCTTGATTCTTGCTTGAGTATATCAAAACAGCCGAGTGTATCAAAGGCCGATTCAACGGCAGCTGCGGCGCGATTGTCACTGGGTCAGATTTGCCGAAATTTCAAAAAAAAACGTCCGAATCTACACCCTCGATGAAAAGGTTGCATTCCTCCATTTCACAACCTTTGAAGCAGCTTGAGGTAGAGTTAGATAGAGCTGGATTTCGCGTTTCCAACAAGCATCGAAATTGCTCTGGAAGCCTTCCTTGCAGAAAGATAGGGTCTGTCAAATTTCGTCGAGTAAATGTCGAGGAGGCCGAAATTTTCACGCGAGTTTTTGCCACTTCAAGAGCAATATATCTCTTATATTGTAAGATCCTGAAAAAGGGAAGATAGTTTTGGAAAGCGGAAGGTTTGCGCTTCCTGATGGTCTGTTTAGTTTTCTTCTACAGCTTTTTGGTTGAAGAGATAATTGCGTCGAGGATCTATCGAGGTCGGATCCGGCCACCTGGAAATCCGCTCCCTCATTCACCATTGCAAGTGTGACTCGTTGGCAACACTCGGAATGTGTCTAGAACAATATCTTTGAACGCAAACAATAAGAATAGGAGCAATCGTCATCATCCGATTTGGTATTGGTATAAGCCATGCATCCCTCCTCCACTCACAGTTGCAGAATCGATTGAAAGGTGTTATATGATGGGGACCTTCGAACGAAACTGTATTGTAGTAGACATAGTGTGTTGTGCTATTCCTGTAACCTAAAAAACAACTTCATTTGCCCAGCGCTTTTTCTTCACGGTTGTCGTTTTTCCGACAGGGTCCCTAACAACAGCGTCATTCTCAGCGAGGTATTAAGGGAGAAGGAGCGAGTGATAGGCGGAGGAGGTGCCTTTGCAGCGCGTGCGCACATGTGGCTCTTCTTTGCGGGGATGCACTTTCATTCTTTGTACTGCCTTCAAATACGCCCTTCTCATGAAGGTGGAGGAATGGAGCGACTGAACCTGCAAAGAAAATTTAATATCATGTTTTTTTTGTTTTCATTTTCTGCTGCGCTATACCCTATTACCTATCTGCACCATGATACCACTTCTGTTACTGACCCCCAAGAGTACGACCCCCCATGGACCAGCCCAACAGGTACGACCCCCCTGTCGAGGATTTCCTCGACCGATATTCACCCTGCTGACCCCCTTGTAATCATAGCCGCTTCAGGAAATACGGGTCATTGCGTTCGGTGGTTTCCCAAATGCTGCCCTAATGTTCATGCAAGGAACCATGTTTGGAAAAGTTTCCAACCCTGAACGATCTCCTTGGTAGGTTCCAACGAATGCCCTGTATGCTCCTGATAGGCCGAATAAGTAAACAAACGCTCCGGGGACTTTTGGTTTAATGCGATTTTCCATGCATGAGCAGTTTGTAGGGAAGGATGGGCTTAATTCATTGCGTTTTTTTTGGTAAGCCTTGTATTATCATGGAGAGTTGGAAATAAGTTCCAAGATGAAGCCTATAAAGATCAAACAAAATTGTAGTGGATTAAAAATATATGACACAAAACAAGTCGACTATTTCAGGGCAGCCGCTCTGTACTGTTCTGAGCTTATGCAACTTCGGATCTTGTTGTCACTGGCAGCAGGAGTGATCGGTTGGGATGTCCTACTTTCACCTACACACGAGCGAAGCATAGCCACTCATGTGGCTTTGTGGCCAGTACAGTCCATATGGAGGGTGAGTACAGATCAGTTTCTCTTGAGATGTCTAATCATTTTATCACAAGTATTGTACTGAGTTAGAGGGAGTTTGCGCTGTTCTCAAAGGATGTTTTGGATCTTTTTTTTTATTCTAACTCAAAAGCTCCATTTCAAATGCCAAGGTGTAGTCTGCTGTTGAACCCATCTTTCCCCATTTAGGCTCGTCTCTGATTCGATTTTACCTTTCTTATATCCACAAAGGTAGTCGGCGTCTTAATTCGGCCTAAATGGTGGCTAGGTAGCCGCTGTCTGACTCGGATCTGCTCCGTGTTTTCCTTTGGCAATAGTAAATACTAACTGACCTGTTAAAGGACAACAGCGCTCACTGAGTCTCGTAAACTACTTTTTTTTTGTTCGCAAGGTGCTTCTGCAATACTATGACAAAGTCTTCTAAAAGACTGTGTTATATGTTCATATGACCGAAGATGGTGTGTATTCAAAAGGCTCTGCCATAATTGCCACATGGCTTCTCTGGCCTGGGATTCCTCCCCCTCACATCCCGGGTACCCGACAGGAGGCCCGTCACGCGGCAAGAAGGCAGAGACGCAGACGGGTCAGCGGACGAGTTGCAGCGCGTGCTGTGTGATGTGGACGTACTATAGTACATTTATTTAACTTGACGCGAAATCACTACAGTACGCGCTGCGACTCGTCCGCTGACCCGTCTGCGTATCTCGATGCTCACTGCGCGACGGGCCTTCTGTCGGGTACCCGAATTCCACCCAAACAAGTCAAGTCTTTCATATCTCTGATGTCAGTCAATTGGCAAGGAAGCATAAAATGATTGATTGAGCTGAATATCGGCTAGTAAGACTTTTTGTTCACGCCTAGCGGATATTTATTCGAGTACCTATCCGATTTAGGACTAATTTTGAATTCTTCCTGAAACAAAAGAGTTGATTAAAACGGATCTCTGTAGTTTTCTGTTCCAAATATGCAAGGCTAGTGATAACGGTATTTCAGACGTTGTCGGTGTGCGGTTGTTTGTACAGTTCTCACCAGTTGAAAATGCAAGAATTAGAAACGGCTTGCATAGCTGCCTACGCTACAGGTGAAATATTTGAGCCTCTGGTAGACGTCACTGAGCAATGCTTTACTTTGAGACTTTCAAATAATACTGTGATTTACAGTTGGCTGTCTTCTTGTTAATCCTGTGTGGGACTACTATGAGGTTAATCAGAAAATTGTGTACGGCTCGAAATTCTGTGGACGCAAGATGGCGGATGCGGCAACGGTGGGTGCGCTTCCAAAATTTAGAAGATTGGCGAGTGATGTTTCTCACTTTACAGGTGGTGATTGTGCGTCCACTGCTGTCGGTCTATCGAGCTGTGAAATATGTGGTGCTGCTACAGTTTATACCGCGTGAGTCCTAGTGAATGCAGATTTATCACACATATTCAACACTTTGACGACAACATGACGCGGTTGCGCGTCACGTTTCCCACGAGAAAGACTTGTATTCCTTTATTTATTTGGGTATTTTCGAGATTTAAAACCAAACCTTGAATACTTAACGGATATTGAAGGTTGTATACTCGTTACCAGTAATCAAATTATTGAACGGTCATGACCCCTAATGAAAAAATATATATGGAAAAGATCTCGAGATACAGGCATAACGGCTGTCTTGTATGCGCTGTAGAGGAGGCAAGCAGGTTCTTTCTCCAGTTTTGTTAGCAAGCGGGGGGGGGGAGGAGGGGAGGAAGTAGCAAGTGCATCCACCGTCCCCGGTGGCATCAGTGCATGTTTACTAGACTCGTCTAGGGAACAATTGCTGAGTCGCGTACATCGGCAGGCCCACGCTAGCCATTGTAGAGACCAGGTCGCCTCGAAAACCACTACGATTCCTAAATGGGAGCAGGATGCGTGGCGCATCCCAGAATGGAGGTGATCAAGGCCAAGTGCTTCATCTCAAGTACCACTTTCGTCCACCAGGCAGCCGCTGAGATCTCCTTTATCTGCGTACGCTTCTCGCTTTCTACTGCATGACTTTCTCATGAGACCAACACCTTGCGGAGTGAAAGCGTATGCTTAAAAAGGATGTCTTCTACGTTAGAAAGTTTTATTGTATTTATTTCATTACTTTAAAATGATATCTCAACACTTGAGCCTCAGTTTTGTTAGCGGCGTTTCAGTAGGTTTTTCTCTCTTTTCCCTCCTTTCCCTGCCGTTAGCTGCCATTGCTGACGCGAAAGGTAGACAGTATTATAAGTGAGTGGTCAATGTACCAGTTGGGTGTGTTAACACTAACCACGCAATCACGAACCATGATCGTGATTGCTAGGCTTTGAATAGGCCTGCTAGCGGCAAGTGAGCGCTGGATACTATGCGCATGAATCCGAGGCTGTCAAAAGCCATGATTGAATTTCAGCCACGTTAACCAACCAACCAAGATTTCCATCATCCTGGGACCTGTTAATTCGTACTATACATATTCGGCTGGTGTCAGAGTCCGCGATCAGTCGCGCGATTCGCGCGCATCGCAAAATCGCAAGTGCCTCATATGAACATTTGAAACACTGAATATGGACAAGAGAATCATGAAAGTCTCATTCAACCATCACCATCAAGCAGAAATGGCGGCGGGATTGGAGAGCACCTCGCAGTGTTGATCGGAGCAATTGTGATTTCTGTAATCAGTCGCGCGATTCGCGCGACGAATCGCAGACTCTGACACCAGCCTTTAGCTGTATAAGAATATTGACTAGTACATCGACTGGTCCCCACATCTCACTCAGAGACCACGTCGCATTCAAATGCCACTAGATTTTTGAATTGGATAGCATGCGTGGCTCATCCCAAAAAAATCAGTCAATCAATGTCGAATTGTTTTTCATGGTCACCAGCTATTTTTGCCCACTGTTCGCCGTATGCTGAGGCGAGGTCGATGATGAACAGTTTTTCCCTTTTCCAACATTCTTATGAGGTCAGTGCCAAATGTACCACGGCCCTATGTTCCTTTATTAGCATTACATTCACGCGAGCAAGACCTATAACAAGAAAAGCATTGGTTTGAGCCGGATTACTTGTATTGCATGAATCAGGTGAAACCCAGAAATTTATGTACGAATCTAAACGAAATAGAGTGCATGGCGCATCGCGCCACTTTTTAATCGTTTGATTCTTTCATTTCTGGCTTCTTTAGAATATATCAATGATTTGTAAGGTTAATTGTGGCTGGTCTGGAAATAAAGATATGGAATCGGAGCGATTGCTCCATGTTTGTTCATGTGTTCGCTTCAAACATCGTGTAGCTCAATGTAACAGGCAATTTTTTCCTATCCTCGTGTCAACGGACGCCTGCATCAGCCGCTGTGCTATTCTGGATTGATTCAACTGTGGGCCGCATTTTGTCTTACGACTGAATTTTTTTCCTTACATAAATGGCTGGTGATTTTGTTTCCATTTCCGCAAAGGCAAACCTTTTTGTGAGGAGCTTTGCCGTCTGCACTGACCTTTTCCGCCTATGGCCTACGTTTTGTCTGTTACAGCTAATTAGCCCACATAATCGGCCGGAGCGGTCCGTTTTCCCTCAATCGACTTTGGTGAACATCACATCGCGCTCAACGAATTTGATCGTTACAATGTGTGCAATTCCTTTCTTTGTGATCAATTTTTTATTCTTTTTTTTCTCAAAGTGTACTTTCGATTAAAGGATGTTAATCTCTCTATTTTGAGAAAACATGGTCGCCTTTTTGATCGAGTCGTAACAAATGTTGTACCATAAATGTTGGCTGGGTATTGATTGAGTGGGCATTTTAAGTTGTATTTTTTCACGGTCTGCAATTCTCAATGATTTACCACACCTAAAACCCGCGCGAATCACACTACTTGCGATTGCGTGGGACCGCCATAAATCTGTTAAAATTTTCTTAATGAGTAATAAATAAATCAGAAAGGAAAATAAACAAGTCTCAATAGCAGGAGCTCACATGTGGGCTACGTGGTTGTGGAACTCAATTCCAGACCACACTATTCCCTTATGCTTCGCTACTGTGGCCACTACACGTTAGATATCTCTTTATCACATCAAATCTCTATGAGTTAGAATTGCACAGTGTTATTGTCCACCAGGCGGCCGTTGAGATCTCCATCTGCATACGTCTCGCTTTCTACCGCATGACTTTCTCATGAGACCAGCCTCTTGCGCAGTGAAAGCGTATGCTTAAAAAGGATGTCTTCTACGTTAGAAAGTTTTATTGTATTTATTTCATTACTTTAAAATGATATCTCAACACTTGAGCCTCAGTTTTGTTAGCGGTTTCAGTAGGTTTTTCTCTCTTTCTCCTCCTTTCCTTGCCCATTAGCTGCCATTGCTGACGCGAAAGGTAGGAAGTATTTAAAGTGAGTGGTCATGTACCAGTTGGGGTGTTAACACTACCACGCAATCACGAGCATTATGCCGTGATTCGAGGCTTGAATAGGCAAGTGGCGCTGGATACTATATGCATGATCCGGGCGGTCAAAGCCATGATTGAATTTCAGCCAGGTCAACCAACCAACCAAGATTTCCATCATCCTGGGACCTGTTAATTAGTACTGAACATTCGGTTCGGCCGGTGTTAGAGTCCGCGATAAGTCGCGCGATTCGCGCGCATCGCAAAGCTCGCAAGTGCCTCATATGAACATTTGAAACACTGAATATGGAACAAGAAATCATATGAATAGTCGTCATTCAGCCTTCACCATCAAGCAGAAAAGGCGGGGGATTGGAGAGCACCTTGCAGTATTGGTCGGGCACTTATGATTTCTGTGGTCCGTTGCGCGACCGATTCGCGCGACGAATCGCAGACTCTGACACCAGCCTTTAGCTCTATAAGAATATTGACTAGTACATCGACTGGTCCCCACATCTCACTCAGAGACTACGTCGCATTCAAATGCCGCTAGATTTTTTGAATTGGATAGCATGCGTGGCTCATCCCAAAAAATCAGCTCAATCAATGTCGAATTGTTTTTCATGGTCACCAGCTATTTTTGCCCACTGTTCGCCGTGGCTGAGGCGAGGTCGATGATGACAAATGCGGGTTTGAGTCGCACGTGGGGCGAACAGTTTTTCCCTTATCCAACATTCTTATGAGGTCAGTGCCAAATGTACCACGGCACTATGTCCATCATTAGCATGACATTTACGCGAAGTAAGACCTAGCCAAAAACTCTGATTCCGAACGTCGCTTCTACATTCGCATGGATCAAGATAAAACCCCAGAAATTTACTGCAGAATCTGAACGAAATAAGAGTGCATGGCGCTCGCGCCACTCTTATTTTGAGAGGTTTAGATTCTTTCATTTCTGGCTTGCTTTAGAATAATATCAATGATTTGTAAGGTTAGTATGGCTGTATAAGAATATGTTGACCATGTTGTACTCATATTGTTCGCCTCAAACGTGTAGCTCAATGTAACCGCCAATTTTTCCTATCCTTCATGTCAACGGACGCCTGCATCAAGCCGCTGCTGCCTATTCTGGTATTAGACTTCAACTGTGGCCCAGAGAGGAATCATTCGCATATTACGACTGAAGTTTTTTCTTAGCAATTGGTGGTAGATTTTGATTTTCAATTTCGCGCAAAAAGGCAAACTTTTTGTAGGAGCTTTGCGTCCCCGCACTGACCTTTTATCCGCAATTAGACCAACGTCAAGATCATAACTTTTCACAGCTAATTAAGCCCACATAATCGCACAACAGGAGCGGTCCGTTTTTCCCTCAATCGACTTGGCTGTACATCAACTCGAGCTCAACGATTTGATCGTTTACCACTGTGTCATAATCTATCTTAAACAAATTTTTTGTTCTTTTTTCACAAAGTGCACTTCCGTTTGAATGGTGCTAGTCTCTTTTTTGTGAAAAAAAAAATGAAAAAAAAAAACATAGTCGCCTTGTGATCGAGTCATAACAAATGTTGTACCATAAATGTTGGCTGAATATTGATTGAGTAGGATTTTTTAATCTCATTTTTTTCACCTTCCCCAGTTTCGGTGATTTACCAATTTGGAACCCGCGCGAATCAGACGTCTTTGCGAATTGTGTGGCGACGCGGCCATAAATTTGTTAAATAATTTTCTTAATGAGACCAGAAAAAAACATATCATATAATATAAAGTAGAGAAGATGGTAATAAATAAATCAGATCAGAAAGAAAAATAAACGAGCAGGAAGCTCACATGTGGGCCGCAAAGGTTGTGGAACTGTTTCTGCCTTTTGGCGGCAAATGACCCTTTGTCTGAGAATATTGGTCGGGATTTGCGTCAGGGTCACGGACCGGTCCTGTGGCGCAGGGTAAATTACGGTCGCGAAGACTCTCAACCATGGCCCTGTACTGCGTGAGAATACTGTCGAGAGTGAAAGTACGCGCGGAGAGCACAGACGGCTCGCGCTTGGCGAGTGAATATTCGCGCGGGAGAGCGTGGCTGAACAGGCAAAAGTCCTCGATGAGACGTCGACGAATCCTCGATCGATTTTCACCGTGCTACAGCAATGAACGTGTTGATTAGTTATCCAATCCGAGGTTTAATCAAGCTGGTGTAGCACTCAAAGTATCTTTACCATATTGAATGGGCAACTAATGGGACTGCTCAAAAGAATTGGGTGTGCTCAACCTGTGCTCTACATTATGCAGCAGTTGGTTGAAAGAGTAGGGTGGAATCATAGTGGTCTTCAAAATTACAAAATTAATTGATACCAAACGAGTCAATATAACATAAGCCGTAGCCTATTCCGGTTTTTCTAGAAATTAATCTTAGAAATTTGTAGAGAAAATTTTTAAAAAAATTTGAAATGTCAGGAATTTTTTAAATCTTTTTTTAGCCTTATGGAAAGCCGTGAAGTCGGGTGCGTGTCAAATAGGAGCTGGTATTAAGCAAGCCACCAATTACGTCGTGACTGGAATCAAAAACCTTGTGCTCGGCATTTGCAGTTCCATCAAGAATCTCTTTTTGGGAACTTGCCGTGCCATCAAGAATTTTGTCCTCGGTACTTGCCGTGCGATTCAAAAATTTCGTGTTTGGGCACCTTGACTTAATTTCAAGAATTCTCCTTTGTCCGCATAGGTGCATGGTGAGTCTTACGGAATTGGGACTACGATGAGCTAAAGTTAGTAGTCGCTCAACCTTAATTATATAGTTGCCTTTGTAGGATTTCGTCGAACATTTTTGAGCCGACAATGAATTTCATCTATGCCGTAGGGCGCTGGTTACGGTATTGGCTATGCGCCCACTGGTGGCCTGATCTGAAACTGTGGATCAAGGAAAAGGTGTGATCTTGAATAATGAACACTCTTCACTTCTTTCTGTATTTGTTTTCAACATTCTTTATCAGGTTGTTGCAATATGAATGTTTCTTCTCGTGTAAACATGAAATTTCAAACAAACAGCAAGAGCCTAGCGGTTCCAGAGCAAGAGATGTTTCCGTTCTCTTTGTATTCCCTTGTAATGCGAAGAATTAATGTTCTTCTTCAAAAATTCCGAGCAAGTGGTGCGTCGGCTCATTCCCAAAGTCCAAATTTTCTGTAGTCTATGGTCTTTTCTCCGTCGCAACGTGTCGTATCAAACTGGAAGAAGTAGCCATAGACGAAGCGTGAACCTGTAGAGAAGTTAAAGGTGACAACTTCTCGGTTCTTTTCTGGGCAGATTTGTAAAATCCAGCACATCCGTAGCGTGGATTAACGAATGTAGTCAGCGTGCGCATCTCTTGTTGATGCATAAAGCTCGGCATGTATGGGTGGTTTGTTGTTCGAGGTGGCTCGCTGTCGTCGTTTAAAAGGACAAGCTCCTCAAGATCCATGAGTTCACTGACACCGCGCCACAAAAAGCACATCTCGTCATGAATGTCAGCCCTATGGAGCTCCCTGGCATTTCTTTCGAGGAGGTGATGCTTCAAGCGCTGTCGTCGGTGTGGTCGTAAGTGCTCACGTAACATCAGTTTACCTCAACTAGTTGTTATCGTACCCCATTTCTCTACGTTATTCTTCGCGTAGTGTGCAAATGCTTGGCGACCACGGCATCTGTAATCCACATCACCGCCGTTCACCCTACCTTTGATGGGGATCCGAGTCATAGATTATTTCAGTAGGTCGTTGGTCTGATTGTGGGAGCCTAGCCCTCAGTACACCTTGTCGTCTAGGTTACTTCTCCTCTAGGGAAGTTCGAACTACCCGCAATTACAGGGTTTGGATAAAGCGTCCTGTCTAAAAATGTGACGCGGCCTTTAACGACATTCAGCGGTCATTTTTCCGTGTGGCAAGCCGTAGAATGCAGACATCTGCATTCGGGAAATCCAGTTACAATAAAGAAAGAACGAAAATCAGAAATAAGTTTTCTGTCCAAAGGATTCGCTTTCATACTACCAAATGGCCTGTCGCGTTTAAATACCCTACATAGTACTAACAGGGATTTAGACTGGCTGGAAGAAGTAGGTGAAGGAGTGCGCGACATTCGTTTTGCAACAACCTTATATGAATCTCGCTACTACTATTTGCTTTTTGTAAACATCCTTTCGACCTCGGAATAGTAATTGTTCTCAAAAATCGATTTATTGATTTATTCGGAGAATTCTTCGACAGTTTTTTTATACGAAAACGCTGTGTTGCTCAGATTGGAGAACCAGTTCGTCGTTGGTTCAACTATTTCTGCTTTGGTTTGGTGTATGTGTTTTGTGGCCATTGGATTCCACCCCTACGAACATGGTTGGGTGCATGGCTACGACGATTCAAGGACTTTGCGGTGGTCCAGTTGCGCCGACTTGGCGGTTTTCTCCATCGAACGGTTGTCGTGCCGACCAAAAAGTGAGTGCCAGGACTTACAGTTTTAATTATAAGTGGAACATTATAAATTAAGTATGCGCTGGGTGTTCCCTTTGTATGCGATGGAGGCACTATTTGTTCAAGGCAATGAGTGGGCTGGCTAGGGGGCTGGCCGGAAAAAGCCCGTTTATTGGTGGACCAGCGCTTTGAGAGGTGTGCTCGAACCGCCTCTTTTCTCCATTGGACCAATCACTTTCGTTTTGTGCGCTGCCTCGCAACCATAGTACCCATTGCCTTTAAATGCATCGTTCACGTGGAGCCCGGATCTCATCTTCTTTATGATCGGCCATGTGTTGTGAAACCGACGAGAAGAGTGTAAAATCACATTCGAGGTAAAAGAGAGAAGTCCACAGTTCATCAAAAATTTCCAGCAGGGCTTCAGGATTAGTTCCATGAGGCGGGAGGTTCGATAGAAGGGTTTGCGTTCCACTTTTACTTTGCGCATAGGTTTCAATCGTTCTGTGCAGATCGTATTTTGACCACCTCTGCCGTTTACTTTCATCCTACAACAGCCAAATAGTGGCAGCTTATATGCGACAGGAAACATTTAATGAAAACATACCAAAAGCTAAATAAAGCCTGGACCAAGTCTTTACAGTCAAGACTCATTTCCCTTTACGATTGTGCCCTTGCGAGTTCTCAATGCATAAAGGGCAGAATGTGATATAAGTGATAAAACGGCTAGAAGTCGACCAGCTCATCAGAGTCCCTCGGCTGCAGAGGTGCCTTGGTCATGTAAATTGAGCGCGACTTATGTGGCTGGCTCGCTAAATGGCTTGCTAAATGTACTATTACTGATGAATCCTGGAGGTAATATCAACATTTACAGTTTCCTCTGGAAAAAATTCGATGAGTTCCGTGGTTGGTTGCGTCGATGTTTACATCGCCTTGCTGTTGCTATACGGTAGGTATTGCTTTTGATCGAGTTTGCCTATTGAAATTAACGCATAATGTTCTTCATTCGTCACTTTTTATGCGGCCGTTGAATATTTGGACCGAATTTAAGAGGGAAATTTGATCAAACAAATCTTTGCCTCATATTCTATCGCTTTGACTCACAGATCTATCAAAGTGTTTGGTGTGTCGGATCTGCCTTATTTTTATTTTAATCGTTTAGAACAAAGACCGAATTTATCAGTATGTGCCCCATTTAATGTTGTTCCTATTCATTTACTAGCTAGTAGACCGACAGTTCATGCCTCTAAGCCTTGGCGGGAATAAGGGTCATCTCATCATATTCAGTCCATTGGGTTAGTGAGTCATTTTAATGAAGGAAGAATTAATGCAGGTCAAGAATCTGCTGGTCCGAGGGTGACTCGTCAATTGATTTTGGACAAACGATGCGCTATGTGACCGAATTCTAGCAACTTGTGACTTACTAAGATCAGGCTTTAGGCGATGG